CTCTCTCCCCTGCCTCTCTCCTCGCTCTCTCTCCCCTGGCTCTCTCCTCGCTCTCTCTCCCCTGGCTCTCTCCTCGCTCGCTCTCCCCTGGCTCTCTCCTCACTTTCTCTCCCCTCGCTCTCTCTCCTCTGACTCTCTCCTCGCTCTCTCTCCCCTGACTCTCCCCTCGCTCTCTCTCCTCTGACTCTCTCCTCTGACTCTCTCCTCGCTCTCTCTCCTCTGACTCTCTCCTCGCTCTCTCTCCCCTGCCTCTCTCCTCTCTCTCTCCCCTCTCTCTCTCCACTCTCTCCTCCCCCCCTCTCATCTCTCTCCTCGCTCTCTCTCCCCTGACTCTCTCCTCGCTCTCTCTCCCCTGACTCTCTCCCGGCTGTCTCTCCTCTCTCCCCTGACTCTCTCCTCGCCCTTTCTCTTGGCTGTCTCTCCTCTCTTTCTCTCCCCGCTCTCTACTGTATATTCTCCAAAGATAATTTGCCACATGGCAGTAGAGTGTTCTTATTGCTCTTGAAGAAAAGGGGCAAACCTGGTTTTACCCAAAGGAGTATGAAAGACACAGCGTTAAAAAAGGCGCCACACTGTTCTCTAACACAACACGTCAATGGGAGGAGCTTCATAGGTGATAATGGAAACAATTTTCTCTGGGCTTTTGGTGCGTTGTAGCACAGACAACACGCACTGGTTCTAACCTTGGGGTGAAGGCAGTTCGTGAGAGAAGGCACCTGATGTCACAGCAGAGGGTGACAGACACGCCGGTTCAAGAAAACATATTATAACCGGATAAAATGGTGGCACACAGAGAAGAAGTGTGGCACCAAATCTGACAACGGGGTCATTTAATTACAGTGCAAACATAATGGCAGTGATTTATCAAAACTGGAGGAGACGGAATCTGGAGCAGTTGCCCATGGTAACCAATCAGCCTCTCTCTTCAATTAGTTTTGTTAAGCTTTGAAAGTGAAAGCTAGAAGCTGATTGGTTGCAGGGACACCTGCTCCAGTTTTGATAAATCCCCCTCAATGTATTTATTGAAAAAAATATATATTTGCAGGTATAAATCAAACATAACAGGGTCTCATTTAGCCAGTTGCTACATTTCAGGGCATAACCTAGAATCCTGAATTGAGAAGCAGCAAAGTTCACCACTATGTCTTTACTTCAGAAGGTATTTTGCCTTAAACAGAAATTAAGTAAAGTCTTCGACAACATGGCTTCCTCCTTCATTGCAATATGCGTCTGTCTGGAGACATCCTTGGAGGGAAGCTGGCTCTCTAGTGACGGAAATCCAAATGTGTTTGCCGGTCCGCTCGCCCAATCAACAGCCTGGTTTCGCGTTAGCCCTCAGTGGAGGCGGGTGCGAGCGAAGCAGGTGATTGGCGGGGAGTTTACACGCAGGACTTTGATTGGTCGGCGGCAGCGCCGCGGCAGGGAAGTGTTAGGATGGCCACTGGCGTCTTCCGGTGCCGCGGGAGTGTGTCCATGACTTAGGCAGTACGCGGAGTTGGTTGCTATGGCGCAGCTGGATGGGGATGGCTGGGGTCCGGGCGAGGGACAGCCTTGACAGAGCAGGCAAGTCATGTCACTGTGTGTGCGGCAGCCAATGAGAATTTTCCTCTCCTCTTCTGTTCTGCCCAGCAACATAAAAGGACAGTTCTAATTGGTTCTTTCTTTAGAGGCCTGCAGTTTAAAGAGAACCGGTCACCGGTTATATTTTCCCAAAGGCTTCTTCTATTGGGCTGTGGTAACCTCTAGCTAAGCCAACATTGGATTTTGGGCTCTTTAAGCATACTTTGGTGTCTGCAGGCTTCTGCCATGTTGGTTCTGGGTGCCCAGGAATGAATGCAGCTCTGTAATCATGAATACATCATCAATTGCATTTTTAAAAGCATTGTATCTACATGAATGAGGCCCGGTATCAGCCTCTTCTAGTCTCTGTACAGCAGAGCTCAAACTGTATTAGGGAGAAGCAGCAGACGCATCCAATCACTTGTGCTCATGTTCTAACAAGGGACATGCTGATAGGAGGAGAGAGCAGAGTGACACAGAGATGAGCTCATCAGTCTGCTGCTTCTCCTTTCACTGTCCAAAAGTCTCCTTGCATTCTGGGGCGGGAGGTGGCATGACACTGAAGACACGCTCCCCCGCCCGCAGTACAAACGCGTGGTAATAAAATGCTCTGCGTTCCAGTGCGGTGGGATCGCCAAAAATCAACTATGGGGGAAAACACTGACCCCATAGTTCTCCTTTAAGTTCGATTAATCGGGATAAAAAAATGGCTCCAGTGATGGACTTCTAGTTTGTATTGCGTGTAGTCCATCCCAGGAGCAAGCTTGGAGCGGTGGAAGTAAAAAAGGAAAAAAAGTGTGGTGTGCAATATAGTGAAAAGGAAAGTGTAAAATTATACAGCAATCAATGCAGAATGGCGCCGGCTATAGAGGACTACAAATCCCAGCAATAGTACATTATAGCCGGCGGTATTCCGCATTGCGCTGTATAATGTACTATTGCTGGGATTTGTAGTCCTCGGGCCTGTCTGTCGGCGGCTGTCATCCCCCCACGCCTGCTCCTCCTTAATTCTTCTTCTCCCCACGTCCCCGTGCCGATCGTGGATGTGGGCGGGCGGCAGTGGCGTAACCAGAGTTATGGGCGCCCGTTGCGTAACATTTTTTTTGCCCCCCCCATATTATATAAACATCCACTAGAACTGTACCCCCCACCCATATATATGCTAAGGAGCTACAAAACTACAAGTGGCCATCATTGTTC